AAACAAAAACCAACTTTCTCATTAGTCGGTTCTCTGAGCTCTGCTCTCTGATGTTACTCCTATATTATAGCTATTTTTCAAAATATCTTAAAGTTATGAAATTTTCATTTGCTTAAATATTCTTATCTCCCTTTGTAAGCTGCTTGAGGACAGCATGTAACATCCTTCAGCATAAGTACTCTTCAGTATTTATTCAACCAGTGAATGAATCTTGACTCTCATCAAACTCCCTATCTATTCTTATTTCCTTACCAGTATTTGACAGACTCTTCTGGAACAGTCAGACTGGTTTCTTTACTCTTTTTTTCTGACAGGCTCATTCTCATCACTGCACCCTGCAGTGACTGTTTTCTTTGTTAGGACTACCTTTTCTCCTGTTATAATTTACCCATATTTCACGGCCTAGCTGATGTCTCCTTCATCATAAAACCAGCTGACTGAGTTAGTCCATATTAATCTCTTCTATTTTTAGATTATTGTTGTATTCAGTAACATAGTTTAACACTTAACTGACCACTATTTATTTGTTTCATTTATGTTTTTTTTTTCTTTTGCCTCCTGTTGACTTTAGGTTTCTTGAGCATAATGAAAAGGTATTCTGCCTTTTGGAACTTCTAAGGTGCTGAATATGTCAATATATCACTAAAGATGTACTGAGCACATTTATTTACAAGGTCTATTGAGAGCGTAAGAGATGTATAGAAGGCAGATTCCTTGTTTTCAAGGAGCTTTCAATCTAGTAACTCAACAAATAGTTGTTTGGGTTTTTAAGATATTAATTTAAGTAATTGTCTTCTGAGCACTTGGAAGCATTTTTATTTTCTACTTGTGTGATAAAATAGCATTTCATCCCATTTGAAATGATTCTGGGAAGGTGGCAGCTTGAACATATCTCTGCTGTTTTTTGAACTCATTTCAAGTAAAATCATGACTTCAAAGCTTAGAAAATACCAAGAGTTAGAGTGGGAGCTCATGAAGGTAATGTTAAAGGGCTTGGAGGATAGATCCAGGAAACCTAAAATACAAGTAATAAGAATTTTAGAAGGAGAAATAAGTAATAAAAAGAAATTTTTCCTTAGTTGAAAAAAGATTGCAAATTGAAAAAGACTGCAGATTGAATGAGTTCACTGTGTTCCAGGCAAGATTGATAAGAAAAGGTACAAACCTAGGCATATTTTGATAAAATTACTCAATTCAGTGATAAAAAGAACCTTGCAAGCTCCAAGATAGAAACATAAAATTAAGACTAGAACAACAACAGCAAAACAGACTATTTGCAATACTATGACTTTGATGATGGTGTAACAAACAGCCACAGACTATTTAGTGAAAAGGTCTACATTCCAAGAATCCTAGATTCTAGATGTTATTTACCTTATAGGGAAAAGAAGATTCTATGTGAGTTTGCAAGTGTTCAGAGATTATATCACCCATAGACCACAATCTAAGCAATATACTTTAATCAAACAATACAAACAGAGACCCCAAGATAGGAGGAGGAGAGGAAACAGTTATGGACAATGGTAACCACCAGTTTGTTTCCTGTATCTGTGAGTCTCTTTGTTTTGTTTTGTTTGTTTTGGTTTTTTAGAGTCTGCATATATGTGAAATCATAAGGTATTTGTCTTTCTTTGTCTGACTTCACTGAGCATAATACCCTCTGGGTCCATCTATGTTGTCACAGATGGCAAGATTTCATTCTTTTTTTATTCCTTTTTTATGTCTGAGTAATATTCCATTATATATACGCCATGTTTTTTTAATCCATTCATCTGTTTATGGACGCTTAGAATGTTTCCATACCTCGGCTATTGTAAATAGCGCTGCAGTAAAGGGTGCATATATTTTTGAATTAGTGTTTTGTTTTCTTTGTATAAATACCCGTAAGTGGAACTGCTGTATTGTATGATAGTTCTGTTTGTAAGTTTTTGAGGAATCTTCATACTGTTTTCCATAGTGGCTGTACCAATTTACATTTCCACCAACAGTGCACGAGGGTTCCCTTTTCTCCGCATCCTTACCAACTCTTATTCTTTGTTGTCTTTTTGATATTAGCCATTCTGATAGGTGTGATGTGATATCTTATTGTGCTGATTGGCATTTCCCTGATTATTAGTGATGTTGAGCATCATTTCATGTACCTATTGGCCATTTGTATGTGTTCTTTGGGGTCCAACTTAATTTTCACAGAGCAGGCAATGAGAAGGGTAGGTTTGGATCTGAGAAGCAATAAATCGATAACTAATACATCCTTGATTCCTTTCTTTCCTTCAGTCCATCTCGCCATATTTAGTCCCTCTCTAAGTTTTTTGGTTTTGTCATGAGAAATACCCTAAATCTGCTTCTCTGCATTAGTAACCACTGCTCATCATTGCCTTGCCTTGCTACTTCACCTCTAGCTCCTTACCTAGTGTCCCTGTTTTCTTCTTTCTGGCTGATTTTACACATAGCAGCTACAGTGAGGTTTTTACACTATAAATTAGATCATGTTGCTTCCCTGCCTTACAACCCTTCAGTGGATTCTCTTTGTCTTTGAAATAAAATTCAAACTCTATTCCTTGGTCTACACAGTCCTGTCTATTCATCTGTTCCTCTCCTCCGCTGTGCTTTAGTCACACTGCCTAACTCTTCTTTCTCTTTCCTCTTCTCCTCCCTCTGTCCTTCCTTCTTTCTTTTTCTCCTTGCTTCTATCCCTCCCTTTTCTTTTTCTTTCTCCTTTATTTATTTAGTTGCTTATTGGATGCCTACTAAGTGCCAGATAGGTACAGGAAATACAGCCAGTGGTTAAAGTAATATTTCTGCCCTTAAAGGGCTTACATTCTGTAGGAATAGACAGAAATTAATAAGTAATATATATTGCCTGTGAGATGGTAAAATTTCAATGGAGAAAAATTGCAAAGACGGATAGAGAATACTGGGGCTGGGTCAGTGGATACAATTTAAAATAGGGTAGTCATGGACAGCCTATCATAAGATGGCATTTGAACGAAAATCTAAGGGCAGTGAAGCTTTTCCTCTCTCTCTTGGGCTCACCGTGCTTGTTCCTGCATCTGTGTCTTGTTCCTTGCTTTTCTTCTGCCTGGAATGTTCTGCTGCAAGATCTGTGCTGGCCAACAGCTTTGCCTCCTTTCCTGGAGTTTTTGTTTAAATGAGCAAATCCTCTCCTCTTTTTTCATCTCATCTCTTTTTACTTTCTTTTTGTGTGTGTGTGTGTTTAAAATTTTTTTCATAATACTATCATTTGAAATGGTCTTGCTCAAATATGTATTTATTTATTATCTGATTACATCCCAATAAAATGTTAGTTCCATGAGAGCAGAGACCTTGCTGTCTTGTTCCTTGCTCTATGCCCAGGGCCTAGCATAGAAGACTCAGTAGACACTTGTTCAGGGAACAGATGGACTTTGCAGGGAGAAGATTCCAGCGGGATTCCTTAGATAGTGGCAGTTTTACAGAGTAAAAAGGTATAGGCTCCGTCTGTCCCCAGACCTCTGCTAGGAAGGAAAAGGGACCCCTCTGGAAGCTGGCCAGGGCTAGAACTCAGGGGCTCATGATGTTTCCTGGCATTGGTTAGTTTCTAAAGTATTTTAGTTTTTTCTTTGTTTCTCTCACCCATTTATCTGTGCTTTCCAATTTTCCATGTAACTTTTACAGTTGGATGATGTGTGGCAACTTGCCACTTCATCAGCCTACTTGTCTGCTTTGTATGTTCAATTTAGCTGATATATATTATACAGATACTTACAGAAGACACAGCATCAAGCCTGGTTTACAGTGCTTATATGAGAGCTGTAGTCATGCCACCAACTGCTTTTGCTCCCTGCATGGGGGGACGTATGCCTCTTGAATTTTATTGTATTTTGCCTATGCGTTGATTTTCTTTTTCCTCTACCTTAAATGTGTTATCCACAGGATCTGAGGCATAGGCTAATTGGGTGGATTATTCTATAGACCAGATGTTGTTAGTAGCTTTCATTTTGGTTTAACTGGTTGGTCCTCATTGGGAAAAACTAAATATTTCCCATGCCTCATTTTCTAACATCTTTTCTTGACCACATTACATCTTTTGCAAAATGTTAGAAAACCAAGGAAGTGAAATATTTAGCCATATGGTAAATACTGGGTTTGTTGAACTAAGTCAGACCTTTGGTCAGTTTATCCTAGCATTTGCAAACAGTGTGGCCAACTAGACTTCCGAGGACATTCATAGGTCACCCGTAATATGCCAACTGTACACAAACAGCCTCCTGGTTTTCTCTCAGATGTCTATTTGAGTACCTGTGTCCAAGATATTATTCAAACACTAAACTTATTGTAATTTTGTACATAGGATAAATATAGTAAAATTTCAAATATTTTCCTTATTAACCTATCATAAACTTGAAGTTTATCTTTCTGTCTGAGAAATAGAACTTACGAAACATCTTAATTACTATTCTATTTCAATGAAGATTAAAAGAAACATTAAAATGATGATCGTGTTGAAAATATGACTAAAATGGTTATTATATGTTAATTAAAAGAGATCTCCATTGTCAGAGAACTAAATTGCTCAGAATCCTGAATTTAATTTCATTATCTTCTAACTTTTTCCTTACAATTGTAGAAAAAGTTTTTCCTTAGCGGTGAGGATTCTTTCCTGTCCTTTTTTTTTTTAATTTTTTTGTAGTCAGTTTTAGTTGTCTCAGTTTCCTTACCTGTAAAATGTGGATAATGTATCTACTTATATATGTGAGAACTAAATCAGTTAATTCATAAAAATATAGTGATTAGAAACTGCCTGGTGCATGGTAAGTACTGTAAGTCTTTATTATGCTGTTGTGCTGCTGTGTTATTTTATATCCCCCAAACTTCTATCCATGCAGTTGTAATTAGTGAATGGAGTGACTGAACTGGGTATGTAAACCCAAATTTGGTTTCCAGCTTTCTGAAACAGGATAATACTTAAAGCCACAAGAATCGATGAGTTCACCCAGGAAAGAGGGCTTAGAGTATTTCTGACAGACCCCTGAGAAATGCTCACATGGGCAGTGGAAATGAAAGTCTGCAAAGAGGACTGGGAAGAAGTGGCTGGAGGTTTAGCAAGAAAGCTAAAGAAGGAAAATCAGGAGAGTTCCAGGGTCAGAAAGGCAAAAGAGGGAAAGAACAGCTGTTGCTGCAAACACAAGAATGGTAAGGATTAAGATGGCTTTATTGAATTTAGCCAAAAGTTTGTTTTATGAATTTAGTGAGAGTGGTTTTAATGCAATAGTGTGGGGATCAGAAGCCAGATTATAATGGGTTAAGGAATGAATGGGAGGAAATGTAAGAATTTCAAAAACAAAACAAAACAACTTTCAGTAAGTTTGACTATGGTTAGGAGAGACTGGACATAATGGTAGTTTTTTGTAGTTATTTGCAGAGATAAGATACTATAAACAGTACTTTATTGCATAATGTCATAAAGAATGCATGTACAAATACTGAGGTTGCTCAGGTGAAGGGCATTAATGTATACCCATAGTACTACATTCTGTATAGTATTCTGGGAAGGAGTCCCTGAAGTAGAATCATTTGGGCTCAGAGTTAACAGTTTAATAGGATTTTGGTGGGCAGATAGACAAGGGAGGAGGATACTTTAGGTTTGGAGAATGGCATGGATTTGTGAATCATTGTAATGTGTTTGAGGAATTATGATGATTTAGTTACCACTAGAACCTAAAGTGTAAGCTTAGTAGGTCCAGTAAGCCTGCACAGGTGGGCAGAGCTGATTGCATGGCAGGGATGGACCTTAGAATCTTAAATTTTATCTTATAGGGCCTTGCTTCCCAGTGGGGGTTTGTGCGGTTGTGCCAGGAGGTACTCAGAACTTATGGTAAACATGGTATATCTTGGAGTATGCATTTCAGTGAATTTTTTTGGAAACTATTGCTGTATTAAAATACGAATATATTATAATGCAGAATTAAAATCTAGGATAAAATATAACCTTAAATTTTAAAAATTAAAAAATAATATATTTTGCCCTTGTGGCTTGTTCCTTCAGGCTGTGCCTCTTCTAGATCCTCTATCCCCCATCACTTTCTTCAGGCGAAAGTTTAAATAACATCCACATAGGTCATGGGGAGTCATTGAGGAATTGTAAGCTGCAGTGGATAACATCTGTATTTGGTAGAGCTCGCCCTAGAGGAGGATGATTTCAGGCTTCTGTGTCACATAACTATGGGGCACCATACCCATAGACTGCAATCAAAGTAGCCCTATGTTGGTAAGAACTGGGCAAGTGGGCAAGACAGGAAAGGGATTCTTACAAGGAGGCTCCTGAAACGAGCTAGTGGTCTCTGCAGTAGGTTTAGGGGAGACACAATGAAAAGAGGTATTTAAGGAGGCAGAATTGATGAGATTGGTGTGGAGAAGGAGGAAGGCATATGATGTGATAGAAGAATTTAGATTGATTCCCAGATTTCTGGCTTAGCTTTTTGAGAGGAAGATGGCACCATTTCTTGATACAGAGAATAGAGGAAGAACAGTTTTGGCTGTGGGAGGAGATAAATTCAGTGTTATTGAATTTGAGAGGTCTTTGAGCCATGCAAGTGGGGATCCATAGCAGGCAGTTGGCTGTGCATGTGCATGGACCTCTTTAGAAAGGCCTGTCCTGAAGCTACACTACACGTTCAATATTCCTGAATGGGCATCACTGACAGTAGAAGCCATGGGTGTGACTGAAGTGGTCCGAGGGGAGCACATCAAGTAAGAAGAGGCTAAACACAGAGCTCCAGAAGCGCCGCCATTTAAGGGGGAAGCAGAAGAAAAGGAACCCAAGAAAAGTGGTCAGAGAGGTATGTGTGGCCAAAGAGGGAGAAGAGCAATGCAATAGGGATTTTCAAGAAGTGCCTGTTGCTGTAGAGTTTAAGAGTGGACTGAGGGATGCCACTGAGATTTACAAATGGAGGAGGTCCTTGGTGGTGACCTTTGCCTGAGCTATTTTAGTGGTGTTGGAGGTGGGGGACTGTGAACCTGTTAGGTGTAGGGTAAGGAATCTAAGGTGGAAGCAGGAGTAGAGGTAGAGGCAGACAACATACACTGCTCTTTCGAGGCTGTGTGAAGCGAAGAAGAGAAAGAACAGTAGCTGGGATGTTTATGCTTTTAGCTCTTCTTTCTTTCTCTTCTCACTAGAAAGTACATTGCATGAAGGCGAGTACTTCCTTTTATTCACCACTTTATCTCCAGGGTAGAAAAGAGCTGTTGGCACATAGTAGATGTTCATAAAAATTTGATGGTTGATTTTCTCTATCTGGAAGGACGTTGGTATTAAGAGAACATATAACTAGTATGGTTTCCAGTGCTTTGACGAAACTTCAGATGCGTGGCCTTCTGGCCAAGTGTCTGTGATCTCCTATTATTGGAGCAGTCATTGTATCTCTGGGGGTTGCAGCTTTCTGTGAGTTTGCTGTGGCTGAACCAAGGAAGAAGACATACACAGATTTCTACAGAAATTAGGATTCCACGAAAGATTTTGAGGAGATGAGGAAGGCTGGTATCTTTCAGAGTGCAAAGTGATTTCGGAATGTAAAGAATTTGAGTTGACTTCCATGGAAATTTGTCACTGACCCGTGTTCCTGAACTATGAAGCATGAATATATGGGCTAAGGAATAGTTTCTCTTGATAAATAATTAACAACAATAACAAAATTTGTGGGGTGGAAGGGTAAGAAGCCTTGGAAAGGAGGGGTTGACGGTCTAGAGTAGACTCCTGGTCTCCGTGAGTCAGGAAGGTTTGAGATTTCAGGCATCTCTGAGTGATTATCCAGCATACCAGAAGGGACTTCTTTTCTGCTGAAACAGAGTAAAGGAGAAAAGGATGGGAGCAGAGGCAGATATTTATAGGCAGAGGAGGAAGTTGAGGGTGTTCTCTTCTGTTGGTTTTATGAGTATTCTCTGAGTTAAAAATAAATTGTCACGTATGTATCCTTGAAAAACGCTTTGTGAAGACATACAGAAAAGCCACCCTCATTTAAGCAGCTATGCTTATGTGAAAAGTCATAGATATAATTGTAGGTACACACCAGGTTGTGGTCAGTGACATAGAAAGTAGATGAGGTAAGGGTGCACCAGAGAGGATGAGTAAGAGTAGGTGAGACAAGAGGTCTCCAGTCTTAGATGTATATGTAGGGAGTGGTTGTAAGCTGAGAGAAGAGAATGCATACATCAATGTGAACACCATTTCATTCTGCCCTGGAAACAGCAGGAAACTGTCTTTGGACTCTTAGCGAAATCTGGAGAAGGAAAGACAGTGCATGAGGCTCACTTTTTCCTCTTTGAGATAAAATGAACAGAAACTTGAACCTCGATTGAAGTAGAGTTCCTCTTTGTTACCAGCTCCTCTGGTTCTAACCAGTCTGGTTTTCCAGTGATTTATTTCTGATTCATTTGACAGGAAACTGCTTTCCCAACTTTTGACAACCTGTTATCTAAAATGATTTGTCTGTTTAGAAGCAGAAGTAATAGTGAGAAAGAGGATGTGACAGTGTCTCAGTGAGTCATCAAGAATAAGACATGACCATATTTGTCTACATCATCAGAACTAAAGAACATTAAAGTGTTCATTTTTTTTTCATTAATAGTTGTTTAATAATAAGTTCTCACTTGTTCAGAATTCTCTATTTTCACTCTAATCAAATTCAAGACTACAGATTTCTCAGGAACTTTCTGAAAGGGAAAATAGAGTAGTAAGGATGGGTTTTATAGTCTAGACTTTGGTTGAAATTAAATAACCCAACCAAGCTGATTTTTTTTTTTCTTTTGCTATTAACCTTAACCATCATTATTGCAAGTCGACCTCTGACAGGCTGTACAAGGCAGGGTAGAGTTGAACTTGAGTTCTTGGCTGCTTTTGACTTTGCATTTTCACATGTTAAAACATGTTCCCTGTAAAGTGAGCAGAGGATCTTTCAGAAGGGGATCAGATTCTAAGAGTAAAGAGGTTTTGCTTAGAGCAAATTGCGAATTCTAATCACTTAACTGCTCTATCAGGGAAGAAATGTTTATAATGTAAAAAGCACCTGTAACTTCTTGGAGATGGAGAGAAGTAATTTTTTTCTCTCTGACAAAAGGTGAAACCAGAGGTTGAATAAGATAGTTGGGGGGTGGGGGAAACCCTATGCACCTCCACATAACTCTCCAGAATTCTGAGTTTCTTCTAGCCATTAGTTGAATAGTTAGAACTCCAGTTAGGCTTTTATTTTGGGGAAGCAAAATGACGTTAACTAGAAGGAAAGAGAGCCTTCTAGTTAATTTTCGTCATCAACAAGCTGAGGACCTATTTCTCATTTTTACAGAGAACTGAGTTATAGTCAGATTGCTTTTTTCCTGGAATTCATATTACGCATGTGTGCGTATGTCTAAGAGACCATGTTCAAGACTTTTGAAAGAGACCTGACACCCAGACCCTTTTTACAGATTCTCATTTCTATTGGCTTTTATGTGAATCACCTGGGAAATCATTCTGAGAGAGAGGCATGTCAAGGCAGTGAGTGAGGTAACATGGAAAAAGATCACTGTGTTCAGGTTCCATTTCTGCTATTTACAAGCTTTGTGACCCTGGGCAAGTTATTTAACCTTTCCTAGCCTCTAGGAGATGAGTGGCTAGATGACAGTATCTGGTTCTTTCCAGCTCTTAATTCCTAAGATGACCTATGAGTATCTTTATGAAATTATATGTAATGGAAATCTTATTTTAAATTAATTGGGACAATTACTATTGAAAGAAAATCCACATATAGTGAGAATCATCTATGCCTAATATATAGTCAGTCAATGAAAAGTTATATATTGAATTTTCTTGAATCAAGATATACATTGAATTATTCATTTTGCCTGCTGTTGTTCTTTTGGCCTGTGAGAGTGAGGGGACAGGACTTTAGTTCTGACTTTTACAGTTTACAGCTTGTTGAATTTCACTTCAGTCTCTCCCCTTTGTACTTTTTTCTCCACAACCTTAGCATCTTGTGCATTTATCTTTTGTACTACTCATCAGATTACTTTATAATTGTTTGCTTATATTTCTCTTCATCCTTCCCAGAGGCTGGAAACCATGCTTATTCATCTTTACTTTTCATGTTGTAAAACACTGAGGAGGAGAAAGATGGTGAGATGTGAGGGAATAGCAGCAGAATCAAAGATGGCCCAGATTT